AAGAAAGAAAGAAAGAGCCGATGCAGTGGTTACGCCTGTAATCCCAGCACTTTGAGGAGGCGAGCGGGTGGACCAACCGTGAGGTGAGGAGTTGACGCAGCCTGACCAACATGGAGAAACCCTCCCTACAAAATACAAAATTAGCGCTTGTTGGCCCATGCCTGTAGATCCCAGCACTCAGGAGGCTGAGGCAGAGAAACTCGCTTGAACCCAGGAGGCGAGGTTGGTGGTGAGCAGAGATCACACCATTGACTTCAGCCCTGTGGAACAAGAAGCAAAATTGCTTCTCCAAAAAAGAAAGAAAGAAAAGAAAAAAGGCCAGCATTGGTGGCTGTATGCATGTAATCCCATATTTCTGGAGCCTGAGGCGCAGGAGGATGGCGTTAGAGGCGCACAGGAAGGTTACGGAGAGATCGCGCGTGCTTGGCCTGGAATGTCTCAACGGTAGTGAGACTGCTATGTAGATGTAGGAGGCAAAGAGGGGGGAGGCAGCATGCAGAAGAGTATTTCTTGTATCATTTTTTTTGTGTGTAACTTGCGACAAGAGAGTACCGTGGGCACAGAGGTTGGGACGTCCCAGTGAATCCACACGGTTAATCTGGCTTATTGCAACCTCAGCCGCCTGGTTCAAGCGATTCTCCTGCGTCAGTCCTGAGTGATGTAGCTGCGATTACAGGCAACGCCACCAACCAGCGTCATTTATTGTATTTTTTTTTTTTTTTTTTTTTGAAGAGGAGTCTCACTCTGCCGCCCAGGGCTGGAGTGCAGTGGCGGATTCAGCTCACTGCAAGCTCCCGCCTCCCAGGTTCATGTCATTCTTCTGCCTCAGCTCCCGTAGTGGCTGGGGACTACAGGCGGGCCCACCACTCTGGCCGGACCTCTGTTGGTGTATGATGGTCTGAGATAGGGTGGGAACGGAACGTGCTTGAGGTCCTCGCCATGTTGGCTAGGCTGGTCTCGAACTCCTGACCTCAAGTGATCCACCTGCTTTGGCTTCCTAAAGTGTGGAGATTACAGGTGTGAGCCACTATGCCTGGCCTAGTTGGTCTATTTATATCTTTTCCCATACAAACATTTTAGATTTTATGTAATCAAATAGATCTATATTTTTGTTGAATGTCTCTGGATTCTCTCTTTTAATTACAAGGATTTTCCTAATTTCTGTTTTGTACATGTCTTCTGGATTTTCTTCTAAGATTTTAATTTTTTACATTGAAGCTTTGAGCCATCTGGACTTTATTTTTGCATATGGTATGAAAAAGGACTCAATTTTCTTCCAAATGGATAGCCAGTTGTGTCAGCACCATTTATTAAGCAGTCCAGCGTGTCCACCAAAATTAAGGCTGTTGAGGCAGAAATAATTTGATAAAGGTTTGTTGGAAGCCAAGTGTGAGGATTGACCCAGGAAGATACACCAGCAGGGTTGGGGATATTTCAGAGTCTGTCACAAGGTTTTTTAAGGAAAGTTTAAAAGAAGGGAGGGGGAGCTGGGCGCAGTGTCTCACACCTGTAATCCCAACAATTTGGGAGGCCGAGGTGAGTGGATCACCTGAGGTCAGGAATTCGAGACCAGCCTGACCGACATGATGAAACCCCGTCCATACTAAAAATACAAAAAAAATTAGCCAGGCACGGTGGTAATCACAGCTGTAATCCCAGCTACTTGGGAGGCTGAGGCAGGAGAATCGCTTGAACCCAGGAGGTGGAGGTTGCAGTGAGCTGAGATTGTGCCACTGTACCACAGCCTGGGTGTGTCACGAACAAAAATGCATCTCAAAAAAACAAAACAACTGCAACAAAAAACAACACGGGGGAGTCCTTTCCTTAGAGGGTACAATACAGAGGTTACCCTCATGGGGTACAGATGACATCATACAGGCTAAGAATGTCTACACACAAGACAGTCAGTCGAACTTCAGACTTCAGCTCACCTTAAAAGAAATTAGTGTCCTATTTAGTGTCTGCAGGTTACACAATAATCAGTACATCAGTCATTTGAGAAATTTATAAGATTCTTTAGTTGGAGACGGAATGTCACCATCGCGTCAAAAGACTGTTGCAGAACCCCAAAGGGTAGGTTTGAGTGCCTGACACGCTGTAAGTCAAACACTGACACATGGGAGCTTAGGAGCAGAGAAAGGTTTATTCAATTTGGCCACATGAAAGGTTTATTCAGTTTGGCCACAGCCTGAGGATGGGAGAGCCAAACTCTGGAATCTGACCTGCCTTTGTAAGGTGGGTAGGGTGGGAGGTGAGAGTCCCCCATGATCAAAGCTGCTTGCATCCCTTTGCCAGTCAAACTTCTGGACATCACCAAGGAGGTCGCATGACCTGAGGATCTTCGTTCTTTAGAAGCAAAACAAGTTCATTAATCTTGCGGGCAGCCTCCAGGGGGCAGAATGTGAAGTTAATCAATTATTAGTGAATTGGTGAACACCCTCTACTTAAATGACCGCACGTGGAGGAAGAAAAGAACAGAGAGGAAAATAAGTAACAAACATCTTATCATTGTTGTAGCATAGGCTGGATTACCGCTCCCAAGGCGGATTACTTTGGAAGCCTGCTTACAGTTAAATGTGACTCGAAGGTTATCAACAGTTATTCATTCAATTACTAATGAATTTTCTGGGTAGTGGGTGGGGGATTCCCCGAACTGAGGACTCTTTCCCGTTTCAGACCATATAGGGTAAGGTACAGATGTTGCCATGGCATTTGTAAAACTGTCAAGGCACTGGTGGTAGCGGTAGCCTTTTCGCACGAGAATTAATTATAATTAGCACATAATGAGCGGTGAGGATGATCAGAGGATTTGACAAGTTTGGCCCCGGCCTCTTTACCGCATCCTGTTTTATCAGGGGGTCCTTGTGATCTGTATCCTGTGAAACCAGCCCTGCTGAACTACCTCAGTATGAAAATAATCTTAACCTTGGAGAAGAAGCCAAAAAAAAAAAAAAAAAAAGAGAAGAAGCCTACAGTTCTAATTGATAGTTATATTTCCTGGTAATAATATTGTAATCAACATCTTTGTATATTCCTTAAGCACTTAAATACTTAAAAAGGAGGCTGTGTCAACCCTGAAGAGGATCATTGAGACTTTACTCATCTCCGTCCTGCATGATAAAAGAAAAATAAAAGTCTGTTATTCCAGTAAATTTATTTTTTAATTAAGAGATCAAGGCCAAGCATGATGGCTCACGTCTGTAATCCCAGCACTGTGGGAGGCCGAAGTAGGTGGATCACCTGAAGTCAGGAGTTCGAGACCAGCCTGACCAACATGGTGAAACCCCGTTTCTACTAAAAATACAAAAATTAGCTGGGCATGGTGGCGAGTGCATGTAATCCCAGCTACTTGGGAGACTGAGGCAGGAGAATCACTTGAACCCGGTAGGCAGAGGTTGCAGTGAGCCGAGGTTGCGCCACTGAACTCCAGCCTGGGTGACAGAGTGAGATTCTATCTCAAAAAAAAAAAAAAAAAAAAGGGAGAGAGAAAGATTAAAAGTCTTAGATTTGCTTGTCTATTCCTATGCCAATATCTGTCTGTCTGTCTATCTGTCAACGAAAAGAGTCAAACTCTGTAAAATATTTGAATAGATTTATTCTGAGTCAAATATGAGTAAGCAAGGCCCATGACACAGCCTTCAGGAGGCCCTGAGAACATGTGCCCAAGGTGGTTGGGGTGCAGCTTGGTTTTACATACATTTAAGAGGCATGAGACATCAATCAAATACATTTGAGAAATACATTGGTTTGATCCAGAAAGGCAGGACAATTCGAAGTCAGGGGGCTTCCAGGCTCTAGGTAAATTTAAACATTTTCTGCTTGATAGTTGGTTTAGTTTGTCTAAAGGCCTGGGATCAATAGAAGGAAAATGTTGAGGTTAAGATAAAAGATTGTGGCCAGGCGCAGTGGCTCACGCCTGTAATCCCAGCACTTTGGGAGGCCGAGGCGGGTGGATCACCTGAAGTCAGGAGTTCGAGACCAGCCTGACCAACATGGTGAAACCCCGTTTCTACTAAAAATATAAAAATCAGCCAGGCGCTGTGGCGCGCCTGTAATCCCAGCTACTCGGGAGGCTGAGGCAGGAGAATCTTTCAAACCCAGGAGGCAGAGGTTGCAGTGAGCGGAGGTCCACTGTACTGGAGCCTGGGTGACAAAACGAGACTCCATCTCAAAATAAAATAAAATAAATAAAATAAAATAAATATTGTGGAGACCAAGGTTGTTTTGAAGTCTCATGGTGGCTGCCCTTAGAGACAAAAGATGACAAATGTTTTCTGTCAGAACTTTAAAAGGTGCTAGACTGTCAGTTACCACCGGTAACACTCAGGTCTGGATGACAGAGCAAGTCTCCTTCTAAAAAAAAACCAAAAAACTAAAAACAAAAAACCATCTCTGATCCCCGAGTTTTCAGTGAGACTGATTTGAGTAATAATAAAATTTCAGTCTCCTGCACAGCCTGCTCTGTGTGAATTACTCTTTCTCTATTGCAATGGCTCTGTCTTGATATAAATTACCTCTGTCTAGGCAGCAGGCAAGGTGAA